TTTTTATTCTCATGGATTTGGTTATCTGGTCTGTTAATAAACTTTTGGAACACATTTCTTCCATGGGAGGACATGTCAAAGGTGGGACCTCTGTTCTGGATATATATCTGGATTCTGATCACTGGATTCTATAGACTGGCTTGGTGGTCTCCTGGTGTCGGTGRCTATTCAGGCCATCTCCTGGCTGCCTGACCAATATGAAGGATTGTTGTTCTAGCAGCACTCAGACTTTAGCCTTGAGAGAGCTGGACTCGGTCTGTAAGTGGTTCTGATGAAGGTCACGGGCCAGCTGTGGTCCCTGGACTTTGCTGCCAGATGGAATTGATCTTGGAGGAGCTGATAGATCAGCTCAGCAGGATTGTCCACATTATTTGTCTGATTGGATTCACCACATTGAGCTGTACCAGCAGACATTAAGGCTGATGGAAAATTATTATTGTCTACCTGACCAAAAACAGTTTCTCTGTTCCCAAACAACTGATTAAAGATTAGGCTCCCCCACTTACATGGCCTTGAATGAGCTGTGGAACTAAATTCTCCAGGGTGTTTACATGGACTTGGCTCCCCCCCACCTCTCCCCTCTCACTCCATCTAATCTGATCCCCTGAAAGTCACCCTGAAGCTGCACAGAATGAACAGTTCAACACCATTATTCTGAACTCTGGGCTTGATCTTTTTGGGACTGGATTCTTCAGACTCATTCTTCAGATATCCACAGAAGCAGACAACACTCATGGTTCAGACACACACCCTCTGAACTCACTGACTCCTCTGGCTGATAAATGTGATCATGCTTGTAGAGGTTTTTATAAACACCATAGTGTGTCACTTTTTGTTCATATTGATGTTTTGTTTATTTTCCTCATCTAAACTTGTGTGTTTTTTCTCTTTAAAGGCAGTGCGACCCCTGCTGGTTGCTGCATGACCTGTTCACCTGTTCACCCATGTTTTTGTCATGAGTGTCTTCTTGAATGGGACGATAAAGGAATCAATCAATCAATCAATCAATCAATCAATCAATCAATCAGGTCCTTCCTGATTGGTGAGAAGCAGGAAGTGGCTTACCTGAAAATCCAGGTGTGAGAGCAGCCATCTTCTTGGCCAGAGCATCTTTGTTGAGATCAGGGTGCAGCTTTAGAGGACGCAGGTGGACTTTAAAGATGGATGCCCGTCCCTTGATGTCAGGTGGACCTGCAAGAAAAACCACCACCACCTCCATCATCATCATCATCATCATCATCATCATCATCATCATCATCATCCTCCTCCTCCATCTGCAGCCATCACCTGAGCACCACTCACCTATATAAATCTGCCTGTCAAAGCGTCCAGGTCTCAGAAGAGCCGGATCCAGGATGTCAGGTCTGTTGGTTCCAGCCAGAACCACCACGTTGGTGGCCGTGTTGAACCCTGGAGAACAGAGGAGTGATTGATCAGGAGGAGGAACAGGAGGAAGAGGAAGAACAAGAGGAACAGGAGGACCCACCGTCCATCTCCACCAGCAGCTGGTTCAGAGTGTTCTCCTGCTCGCTCTGACCTCCAAAGTTCCCACGGCCTCGCTTTCGCCCAACGGCATCGATCTCATCGATGAAGAGGATGCAGGGAGCATTCTTTCTTGCCAGGACAAACAGATCTCTTACCTGAGAAGAAATGACATCAGCTCTACTTTCTTTAGCTCCTCCCCTTCATGTAGGTGGGCTTACTCACCCTGGCTGGGCCGACGCCCACAAACATTTCCAGGAACTCTGAGCCGTTCACAGTGATGAAGGGAACGTTGGCCTCACCGGCCGTCGCTTTGGCCAGAAGAGTCTTACCGGTTCCTGGAGGCCCCGTCAGGATGGCCCCCTGCAGGGACAAACAACAACAAGTCAACAAGATGTTGACATACACAAGTCAACAAGTCAACAAGATGTTTACATACAAAACGACAAGTCAACAAGATGTTTACATACACAACAACAAGTCAACAAGATGTTGACATTCACAACAACAAGTCAACAAGATGTTTACATACACAACAAGTCAACAAGATGTTGACATTCACAACAACAAGTCAACAAGATGTTGACATACACAAGTCAACAAGTCAACAAGATGTTGACATTCACAACAACAAGTCAACAAGATGTTGACATACACA